TGTGTGTGTGCGCGCGCGCGTGGTGGGTGGTGGGGGGGTGGGGCGACCCCTCCCCCACCATTCAATACATCAATCAATCAATCAATCAATCAATCAATCAATCAATCAACCGAAAAGAAAAAAAGCAAAATCGAATGAATCTTCTGCTAGAACATGGAAATATACATTACTGCGTGTGTGTGTGTGTGTGGGCCTGTTGGGGGTGGGGGGGCGACCTCGCCCCCACCAATCAATCAATCAATCAACGAAAAAAAAAAAAGCAAACTCGAATGAATCTTCCGCTAGAAATCGAAATATACAATACAGCGTGCGTGTGTGCGCCCGTGGGGGGTGGGGGGGGGACCCCGCCCCCACCAATCAATCAATCAATCATTCAATCAACGGAAAAAAAAAAGCAAAATCAAATGAATCTTCGCTAGAACATGAAACTATACAATCCTACCTGTGTGTGTGCTGTGAAACTGCGCGTGCATTGAACGTGGGTTTTCCGTTCAGAAACTGAACGGAATGCACGCGCGTTCAATGAACGGGACCGAACGCGGAGTTCGATTCCGCGCAGGGAAAAAAAAAAAAAAAAAACCTTAAAAAATTCCGAAAAAAACATATGTTATGAAGAAAAATAAAATAAACAACATTTGCCTGAGCATTACATATAAATTCGTTACAAAATTGGAAAAAACAAAAATAGAAAACAGAAAATAGAAAAAAGTAAAAAAAAAATTGAAATTAGTGAGCGAACACGATTTGACACCGCCATCTTTGGCGATTTTTCAAAAAAAAATTCCTTAGCAAAATGACTCCAAAATTGAGAGGCATGTACCGCACATCATATAGAACTCATAAAAAAAAAAGAAAAAAAAAAAGTTATTTTTAGGCATCGAAATGATTAAAAAAAATAAAAAAAGTACTTGAACGCCGTTCAATTTTGAATGCGAATTTAAATCCACGTTGAAACGCACATTTGAACCCGAACGCACGTTCACAACGTTCAAACGGTTACACAGTGTGTGTGTGTGTATGCGCCTGTGGGGCCAATCAATCAATCAATCAAGGGAAAAAAAAAAAAAAAAGCTGTTTTTTTTTTGTTTTTTTTTTTTTAAATACCTTCACTCACCCAAACCCTCCCACCCAAAAATTAGTTTTTTCTTTGAGGGGGTGGGGCTGGGGTTGCGCCGCCCCATGGCGCTTCCCAAATCCCAAACCCCCCTCCCCAATGACCACCATGCGGCTGCAAAGTCGCGCGGCCGCGCGAACACGTCCGCGGGGTCGCGGCCTAGGCTGTGGCCGCAGACTTGTCCGCGGATTGCCGCCACCGAGGGGGATTCGTAGATGAGTGGTACTGTTCCAATATCCGGGACAATGTTAAATTCATTGTTAAAAACTGTCCAGTCTGCGTGGCGGCTATGTGTCCCCCTCGGCCGCTGCCGAGTAGGCCGGCCATGTTCCCGCGGCCAAGTTTACGCGCGACCATGCCAGGGCTAGGCGAGGGCGCTCGAGGACAAATGGCGCGCAGGCCCCTCCTGCGCACGTCGGCCACTACCACCCTGTACAAAAAAAAACAAAAAAAATGAAAATTTGGGGGGGGTGGGGTTTGGGTGAGTGACCAAAAAAATAAAAAAAATTGAAAAATAAAAAAAATTGATTGATTGACTGATTAATTGATTGTGATTGATTGATTGATTGATTGATTGGTGGGGGAGGGGTCCTCCCTCCCCTCCCCCCGGCACACGAGCATACACACACACACACACATATACACACACACAGACACACACACACACACACACACACACACACACACACACCCGTGCACTCACACACACACATACACACACCCGCGCACAGATATACACACACACACACAAATACGCACTATGACACACACTCTCTCTCTCTCTCTCACACACACACTCCACTTTCTCTCTCTCTCTCTCCTCTCTC